CAAACTGAGTGTGAAGTCGGATCGAAACCATGTTATACCTATTACACGCATCAATATGTGAGAGGTTTTATGATAGCTCTTTACGGCATCAAGTATCTACCTATATATGAGTACTGAGTAGTATCATGCCAAAAAAGAAATAAATGTTAAAAACAATGTGCATACTACAAACTAATAACAATGACCGTCTCGTAGTTGTAGCTTGTCTGGAAATGCAAAGCTCTGTTTCCATCTTCTATCTCTTTCTCTTTCTCTCTCTCTCTCTCTCTCTCTCTCTCTCTCTCTCTCTCTCTCTCTCTCTCTCTCTCTCTCTCTCTCTCTCTCTCTCTCTCTCTCTCTCTCTCTCTCTCTCTCTCTCTCTCTCTCCGTCTCTCTATCTTTCTCTACCTGTCTGGCATCTCTCAGCAGATATGCCTAATTCAGATAGAGATCTGAGTTTAGACCGTGCCGTGTGCTGACTTATTGATGTAACCGAAGATTTGCGTTCAGTAGTCAAAACACTATTCGTTAGAATTGTGTTTTCCCATTAAAAAACAAATCTGAGTTCCCTGGCAATTTTCAAAAGAATGATCTGCGGACTTAATTGTTGAAAAATGACAAAATCACAGGAATTGGCCAAGATCACCAACAAATATGTTTGTAGCACAGGACAATATTGCTTATTGCATTAGATCCTGCAAGTCAAAGTAAATGCCAAGGAATTTGAACATCATCTGGACAGTTTTTAGTTACCGATCTCGCAAGGTAATTGGTCGTTCTTGTTGATGAAGCAGTTCCTCATCAACTATGCGTTGGCTAGACATTTTCATTTCCTTGAGTCAACAAGTCATAGCACCTCGACTCCGAAGTTAACTTTACTTGCGCATCGATTTGTTCGTCGTGAGTACAGGTGTTTCACAATGACCACCATACTGCAATCACTGCCACATTAAAATTGTGCAGACAATCAGACCTTGGGGCAGAAATTATACGGAGCGAGCCGCACTTTACTTTTAAAGTCACAGAGAACAGAGAAAACAGGTCATTTGCCCCCGAAAGCCCGTGCCGATAACAAGTCGACGCAAGAGTGTGCCGTAGGGTTTTAAAGATCGTGTGAAGTGGCATCGTGCAAGTGGACAGTCAGAGGCTTGGAAGATCACCTACGTTTTAGGAACAAACGGTGCAGAAGTATCGTCTTGAAGAGGGAGGTGTTCGGGTCGCCTGGCCACATCACCTGGTCATCTAGTGTCAGCTTTCATTTACAGAGCTGAACATCGAATATGGTTCCGCGATTCTTGTCGCGATGTTTGTTTTTCACTGCGAGTCTTTTGGCAGCGAGATCCGTTAATGGATTGGAAGCCGTGGTACACGTTATATCATCTGAAACCTCTACATCTCCCCCAGCGCAGTCAACTTCAGCTCCGTCATCGCCGGCACCTTCCACGACCACTACGTCATCTCCGGGGATTCCGTCATCCACCATCGCCAGCCTCCCTCCGCAAACTGAAGGAAGCTGGTGTCGCTCTTCGGAGACCGGTTCTGACTTACTATGGCTTCGACACAACCTCAGCCGAATGCAGTGCGCCGCGGCTGCATCGCGTTACGACGCACAGCTCTTCACCTGGGGAGACAGCTGTGAGCTCTTCGCGGCGATAGTCTCCGCGCCGAATGACAGTGCGACAGCAGGAAATGTGGAGTTCACTGCGTCTCGCTGCTCGCTGCCAGGTAATGTAAATGAGGCACGTAGTGTATCGTCGACGACGGAAGTGGCTGGAATATTGACAACAGAAGAAGCGTCTACAATCAGCGAGGCAATGACATCAGCCAGCATCACGAATCCCGAGAATGTCGGACAGACGTCTGAAACGGCTGGCCAGAGGGAGTCCTCGACGGCAACGTCTTCAGCTGTCGGAGATGCTTACCAACTAGGTGCGACAGCATCAGCGGAACACCTCGCTACGTCAGCGAACGAAGCAACGCAGACCGCCCTCACAAACGCAGGAACAAGCGGAACAGGCGCTGCGTCGGATTCAACGACGGTGGCACAATATTCAACAAATTTGTCGACAAGAACTCCCACTGAAATGTCGACATCTGGTAATCCAGAAGAGCAGTCTTCATCCACTACGACCGAAAGCTTGACCTCGCAGACAGAGACGACCATTGCAAGTAGCACAAGCTCTGTCACGATCTCTGCCAGCATTCCAGAAACCAGCTCTACTGAAGGCGTGACCAGTCAGCTATTCAGCACTTCTGAAGCCGACAGATCAAGCACAGTCAGCTCAGCACCACACAGCGGAGCTTCTACATCAATTACAAGCCCTCGTGGAGACCAGCAGACTTCAACTTTCACCACCGGACCAACCCAAAGCACGAGTCTGGGATCCAGTGTAACAACTACGGGCGCACAGTCGACGTATGTGGTGACGCCAACTACAGATGCAGCATCTTCACCGTCAAACAGCATGTCGACCTCAACGATGCCCGGCGTACCCTCAATAACTACCGCTGCTGCAATCGTAGGATCCACCTCAACATCTATACCGAGTGTTACCACGTCGATCGATTCTACAACCACTACCGCGATTTCAACACGATCAACCGCATCAACAGTATCATCCCTGTCCTCGGCTGTCACTTCAGGCACTACTCTCTCCGTAGCATCCTCTATAACTTTTACAACTGTTTCACCCGTCAGCACAGCTTCTCCTACATCCCCGGCTGAAACTTCGACTACAACCACAACAGCAACACCTTCAGCCGCAGCTCCAACAACGACCACAGCTCCAACATCAACTTTAAGTTCAACAGCAGCCTCAGGAGAAACTTCAACGACAACTGCCGCCTCAACACCCAACTTTGCATCACCCAGTATAACCACTACCACAGCAGTAAGCCCCTCGAATACTACGCCAATACCACCAACTTCGAGTACGTTTACATCTCTACTTACGACAACCACGACCACTTCAGCATTAACGACATCAACAGCAACAACATCGACGACGTCAACAACAATCCCGATCCCAACAACAACAACGACAACAACAACGCCGCCGACGACAACCACCACCACCCCCACGACGACCACCACCCCAACCACCACCCCCACGACGACGACGACCATCACGACCACCCCTACGACGACGACAACCACCACCCCTAGCACCCCCACCCCCACCACCACCACGACGACCACCGCCACCACCACGACCACCCCTACGACGACGACGACGACGACGACGACGACGACGACGACGACGACGGCGACGACGACAACGACGACAACGACCACCCCCACGACGACCACCACGCCCACTACCACCACCACCCCCACCACCACCCCCACGACGACAACGACGACGACCACCACCACGCAGCCACCGCCAACGGCAACCGTTCCGTCGTCCGTTTCCTGTAGTGGACGGTACTGGGGCGTTCTGAACCACTGTTTCTGCGTATCCACAGAGCTCTCTGACTCGATGTCAGCAGCCAGTCTGACCTGTTTTTCAATGGGGTCTAGTTGCGATGGAGGCTTTGGCACATATCCAGACATTGCCACTGTGCTGAGCGCTGAAGAACAGCTTGGAATTGAGCAGCGCCTTCCAGCCAAAGCTGGTACTGAGGGACATATTCTGCTGGGCGGTTATAAAATGCTAAGTTCGTGGCAATGGTGGGGCAATACTGACTTCGTGTATTCGAATTTCGGAGGCAATCGTGTTGGATTGAATACGGGCAGGCAGGAATTCATTCTGTTGAATCTTTCGGATGGCAAGTGGGATGTCAGTAATGATGATTCGAAGAGGTACAGAGTGTTGTGCAAGTATAAACCCGGCTTTCATTAGATTTGGTCGAAAATGTGTCTGCATCATTCAGGATAAATCGCATTAGATTGTTGGGCTTTGAGTGTTTCCGGACCAGTGCACTTGAGATGGCGTGATCTCGGATCCGGATTCGTAAATTACTGTTATAGCCTTTACGGATACGCTGGTCTATTATACACGTACGGGGACCCGCAGTTGCTTCTGTACACGAACCCCAACTCTAGCCGTCTGTCCTGTCCAGTAACAACCGATAACATTGATATCGACTGCCGGTCCCTGTACAAGAGCAGCTGAGGTTTTCTGTGCGTGCTCTCTGACAGCTTATCGTTTTTCCCTGTGAGGGTGCTTGGACAATTTACTCAAGGTCGCTGTACAGTAGCAACTGCGGGTCCCCGTACCTACTAATGATCTCCTTTGTAATTGGCAACAGTTTTCCCTGTATACACAGTGTATAAGCTACAACGATTTTGAGTGAATTCTTGATTTAGGTTGGTATGTGTCATTTTTATTTGCTCGATCGTGCTAAATATAAAAAAATGCTCGTATGCTAATAAAAAGGCAATGTCTTGAAAATGCACTTTTGAGTTTTGTTCTGTGCGCAATTTGCATTTAACAAGGAACAGGAAACCCTGTTTGATTAGCAAAACACAGGAAGACATAATATTTGATTTACAGAAGCTGCGGTTAATTGCGTCAGACAATTTGACAAGGTCAAACAGCAAATAATATGGCCAGATTCTGACCAGCGCGAGAGGGGTCACTGGTCAGGTCAAATAACAAACCAATTTGGCTGAGGCAACCGATACTCATAGTGACTTTGTTAATTAGGGTTGGTTCTTCAAACACCTAGAACATGTTAGACGGTGGGTGTCATATGGTTTTATTTCATTTGTTTTGCTTATGTATAGCAACTCACATATTCGAAGTCGTTTTCTGTCGGAACGGAATTGCTACATTTCATTTAGTTTTATATCAACACCATATTCATACGTTCAATTGCTTCGTTGCACATTAACAGAAGTCAGCTACCCTCGCCGTTCCCCGAAACACGGTAACCTCTTCAGTGAGTCTACAAGCTTACACAGCTTATCGTAATTTCTGCCTCCACCCAGCTAACGGTAACCTCTGCCCAGGCCCATCGCAGCCTCCACTCAGCCAGCCGTAGCCTCTACCCAGCTGACGGTAGCCTCTGCGCAGGTGGCCACAATGCTGGACGTGGACGGCATCCTGGAGGAGATCGGGGGCTGGGGCCTGTACCAGAAGAGGATGTACCTGATCCTGTGTCTGCCGTCCATTGTGGCCGGGGCGGCGGTGGTCAGCCTCTCCTGGACTGGATATGTGATGGAGCATAGGTAAGAGACGGAACTGGCGCAAGATTACTTTGATTTGGCGTATCCAAGAATGGTGTGCGAGGGTCAATGTGCACTGCATTGTGCAATGTGCATTAGCGATTTTTTGGAGAGATGTGCCGTTTTATTTACTCCTTATTTGACCTAGCTAATGTGCACCAGTAGGTATGATGTCATCGAAAGAAGCGCAGTTTTTTATGTTCTCCTTATTCCACCTGACCTGTGGACTGGTCACCAAAACACAAGCCCGAAATAAATGTTGCATTCATTTTGCCACTCTTATCAATCGACAATCGCTTGAGGTTTCAAATATCCGGTTTTCAGGTGTTTGGTACCATCCTGCGAGAACGCCACCAGCGCCACCTATAACGCATGGTTCCTCAACTTCACCACACCACGTGATGCTGACCAGACTGACCCAGCTTTTCCGTGGAGCGAGTGCCAAACATTTCAGTCCTCGGTGAAGGGGCAGTGTAACGCCAGCGCGTTTGACGAAGAAAAGACAGAGGGCTGCACCCAATGGGTGTATGATAAGTCAATTATGGAAAACACTATCGTCTCAGAGGTAAGGTCATGTTTGGGTCGTGCTTTCTACGGTGTACTTTGCATTGCCTTTTCCCTCTAAATACTAAAGGCCATGAGAATACGGCTTCATAGTTCCTTTATATGACCCAACCTTCAGTTAGAATTCCAAAACAGGAATAAACTCATTCAAAATGATGCTGCCGTAAGATCCTTATCCAAAACCATCTAGGGCCTGTTGGATATAATTTTGATGAACACTTCCAAGTTCCATGTAGTTGGGAGTTGCGGGGCGTCACATTTTCCCCGTTTATATTCCAGTTTGACCTCAGCTGTGGCGAAGATTGGCTGGTGGACCTCGCCAATAGTCTGTACATGGTCGGCATGCTGCTGGGATCTCTGGGCTTCGGCTACATTTCAGACAGGTAACGGACATGAGTGCCAGCGTTCAGCAATAGGAGGGCTGAAGCACGCAACCCGACCGACTCCCTGGGCTTAAGCCAAGTTATTCTTAGTCATATAAGAACACCTTGCCGGTATCGGCATGCAACGCATTGTTATTCGAAAGGTTTGCTGAGGGATTAGGTGGGTTAGGTATGGATAGCTCACGTGTCTATCCCATAGACGAATACCCCTAAGTGATAAGACTACAAGAGTTTCATCACACGTAATGGGAAGCAGATGGTTCAGGACTCAGGAGTAACCGGAAGGCTAGATGCCATCACTGTAATCTGCCCGTAAAAGGCATCGTATTACTATTTTCTGTACGTTTGTTCTACAGGTTCGGTCGTAAGATAGCCCTGATGTCTGCGCTCCTTCTGTTCGGTACTGCCTCCACCATCACTGCGTTCGCTCCGAACTACGGCACGTTTGCGGCCATGCGTCTCTTCACCGGCATCGGCGGACTGGGCACGTTCATGATCACCTTCGTACTTAGTAAGTAAAAATGGATACTGTGTGAATTGTATGGCATTCACATTGATATTGCTGCTCAAGGTAAGTGCTAATTGGTGACCATATAATCACTACCTGGTGCATTCATTACCTAGCTATTGTCATTACCAGCACCAAGTGTAATTCCTCATCAACTTTGTCTTGTTTTTCGGTTTATCATTTAAAGAAATGACCTTATGTTGTTATAAAGGCAGACTTGTTTTGCAAAATGTAATTCAATTCAACTTGGTGCATCCGGGATTTGTATGCACATTGCACGCCTACAGGCCAGGTCAACATTGGCCCGATGCTAATAAGTGGTCTGAGTTCCGCAGCAATCCAATCCGTCTTGACATTGCGTATACCTACATTGCTAATTTGCTACTAGACATTGCTACTAAGCATCGAAATTAAAACTTGGAAATCGAGCTAGAACTAGCAGTGGGAGTGGCAGGACGAAACATATTAACATAACAGTAATCATTCGCCCTGTCTGATGCTCACACGTATTCCTTTTTCTCTTGTTTTTTTTCTCTCTCTCTCTCTCTCTCTCTCTCTCTCTCTCTCTCTCTCTCTCTCTCTCTCTCTCTCTCTCTCTCTCTCTCTCTCTCTCTCTCTCTCTCTCTCTCTCTCTCTCTCTCTCTCCCTCTCCCTCACCCACAGGTGTTGAAATGGTCTCCAACGACGTGCGAACGTTCTGCGGCTTTGCCATCGAGCTGTTCTTCTCCTTTGGCGAGTGCTTGGTGGGCGTGCTGGCACTCTGGATCAAGGACTGGTGGATCCTGCAGCTGACCATCGCGCTGCCCATCTTCGTCTTCGTCTCCTACTGGCTGTAAATAGAACGTGAGGCACGCGCCCGTGCACGGGGAGGGCAGACGATTTCTTTAGGGAATGTTGTTTTGAGATAGGCTTTTGTTTGACACATGGGTTATGGTAGGTGTAAGTAGGTGTAGGATACAGGGAAGAGGGGGGGGGGGGAGAGCGAAACTTACTTCAGAAATGAAGCTACCGTAATACAAATCCGTAATTGGGGACAACCAGATTTTGGCGCAAAATTTTACGCACCTTAGCATTGAATTACGATGGCAAGCTAATGGGGTAGCAAGTAGATAAATTGGAAGTTTCCAAACAATATTGTGAATTTTGTCATTCGTTTTTTTTTTGCACTACATTAGTATCATATTTTAACCCGGCAGTTGCTGGGGTATTTCGCCACCCACCGTTTGCTGGGGGGGGGCGTTAAACGCCCCCAGCCGATAACTCGAGAACCAATAGGCGCAGCGAAACGCACGAGGCGGCAAACGAAAGAACGCGACGAGACGCTTCAGATGAGTACTTTAAAGTTGAATTTTGAGGTCACAGGTGGGGTCAAGGTCAGGTCAAACACCTGAAATCGGGCTTTCAGTAGCATGGACTTCAGGACTTCGCAATTGGCACCTCTCGTCATAAACTCTGTCAAAACGGTGCACAATCCATCATATAAGGCCTACAAGAGTGTCAGCTCCATGTAAAGGTCAGTCAAGCATAGGTCAGGGTCAAGGTCAGGTCAACCGGGTAGGCAAATATCCCCGAAAATCAAAACTGGTATTCGCAGCCTGTGACACATGTTTTATGGGTAATTTGAGGCGTAGAACACGATGGTGACATTCATTTTATCATATGTGTACGTGTTTGGCTCAAAAAGTTAAATTTAAAAAATGCATGTATCATGGTGGTGAAGTAGTCACGAGAAATTGCCGAGATTCAGTTCAAGATTTTGGAAAATGCGGAACGATAATCAATAATCGAAGATAGCCATTTGATTGTTCATGGTATTGGCAGTCTAATGGCGTTTACGGCATGTCTGTATGTCTATTCTGTGATTTTATATGATTTTTTGAACATATGCCGTTTTTGGTCGAAAACTCAGAAATCATGACGTCACTAAAACCTCGATATCTCTAAAATTTTCCAATCGATTTTTTTGAAACTTTGTCACAATAAACTTCAATCAATTCTCTACAGGTACCCAAAATTTGGCGCGCCTACGGCGCGACGTTTTTATGCTATGGCCCGGCGAAAAAAGTGGGGGCGTTTAACGCCCCCCCCAGCAACTCGCGGGTTAAAACAGAATGTCAATATTTGATCACGTGTATTTTCTCCGCCCAGTTTCGTTCCGGAATCGATCCGGTGGCTGGCGGCGGAGGGCAGGGACGCCCAGGCCGAGAAGATCCTCAGACACGTAGCGGAGGTGAACGGAAAACCGTTCCCCGGACGGATGCTGCAGCAGTTGGATAAGGTAAACGCGAACGCTCTCAAACCCATGACAGTTAGGGCTTACATGCGTCTGGCTGCTGGGGAAAGACGATCAAAGTAGCCTTGCCACTTTCTGGCTCCGCATTTAAAGAAGATATCTATGCTACGATATTGACAATATTGAATATCTACAAAACCATTCCAGGCCCAATTAGATAAAAAAAAAATATTTGTTGACCTGAAGAGCGAGCTAGATCGTGAAATTACAGGAATGAAAATGATGTTGAGACTTGAGGGTAAGATATTGCATTATATAAGATGTGTTGCCCTCGCTCCAAACAGTGCTCAGTACCTATAATCCTGTTTTGTCAGAGTCAGGCATCTGAAGAGAAGGCCGAAGAGGTCGCCGCCGCTACTGTTTCCGATCTGTTCAGATCACCGGCGCTCCGGTGGAGGACCCTCATCGTGCTCTACCAATGGTAACTATAATGGTTGTTATAGTTGTTATAGTTATGCTTGTTATAGTTGTTATACTTGTTGGACTTATCTCATTCAGCATGTTCGTTGTCGGTATATGCAAATCAATTATTATGTAACGAGTGATTTCGAACCGGTAATGACAATACCGACGCCTGAGCAGAGCCCATAATGCCAATGCCAACAATTGTGCTAACTGCTATCAGTGGCCCGTCGTGGTTGTCCTGGTAGCATTGTGTAGAATGCAGTCAGTCCGTTCACTCCCCAGTCCAAGAAGTTGTCAGAAGCCCGGTGTAATAAGAGCTGTCGGCTCGTATTCCGATTCACCCGATGGGATAGCTCGGCAGGCGGCGCCAGACCGACGAAATACGAGTCACTGGGGCGACTGAATGGGTTGTGGGGTGGTGTAACATGACGAATGATGATTCCATGTAATGTGAGGAACAGGAAATGCTAGACGGCATTTCAGGCTTGACCAACGGTCAGCCGAAAGCAATAACTGTGATGTGGTTTCCATCTGTAGTGTTATAGGCAGGCAATACAATTATGTATTGCCTGCCTATAACACTACAGATGGAAACCACATCACAGTGTTATAGGCAATAGATTTTTTCATATAAATTTAGTCCGAACCTTTTGATGGGAAGGATTCACAAGGACAGAGCCACCGCTAAGCGAGGCTTGTTGCGATGACCCTGCCCTCTACCCTCCGATCGCGCAATTCCGATTCTATGGCAGAATTTAGAGTCCAAAGTTTAACGTGCGCACAAAGCCGCGCACGGCCGGTCCCCTCGCTGACTTCGCCTGGCTACGGCCTGCCACCAACCGCAACCATACCTGTCAGGAGGCCCATAAATGTCGAGCGCCCGTCGCGCTTCGAACCCGGACTGTCATAACCGGGAACGCGTGCTCTCACCACGCGGAGTCCAACGCTCTAACCAACTGAGCTACGGGACCGGCTGAATGATGAATAAATAAACAAATATAAGCACAGCAACTGCCTTATAATATAACTGCCACATTAGCCTACGATCGCTTTATCAATCCACCCCTCAGCCCTCTGACGTCACCATCCTTCCCAGGTTTGTCACCGCCATGGTCTACTTCGGGCTGGCCATGAACTCGACGAACCTGGGCGGCAACGTCTACCTCGACTTCATCCTGGTGCAGCTGGTCGACTGGCCTTCCATCATCCTCTGCATCGTGGTGTTGGACCCGTGGGGACGCAAGTTCTGTAGCAGCCTCTGCTTCCTGCTGGCTGGAGCTGGCAGTATAGCCAGCGGTCTCTGCTCGGGAAATGAAGGTGGGTCAGACGTGGCGCTGGCGTCGCTGGGCGCTGGGCGATGTTGCTTTACTGGCGCTAGTGGCTTAGCGAGCAGCCTCGTGAAGACAGCGAAACGAAGTCTGGTCTAAGAGGGCGCTAGTTGCCAGCCGGCGGCGAAGGTAGCTCTTAGATGCCGCTGACCTGGTTCGCGAGCGGTGGATAGCCCACCATCTCAGTCTCAGTTTCTCTTCGGAGCTCAAAATGATCATTGTGGGTCAACACTCTCTCTCTCTCTCTTACTCCCAGTAACTCTTCCGTCTCTCCCTGCAGGTCTGGAGATGGCCACGGTCGGGTTCGCGCTTCTGGGCAAGTTCGGCGCCGCCGGGATGTTCGCCATCGTCTTCGTCTACGGCGCAGAGTTGTTCCCCACCGACGTCCGTAACACAGGCATCGGGATGTCTTCGGCGGCAGGCAGAATCGGCTCCATCCTGGCACCGTTCATCGCTGGACTGGTGAGTGGTGTTCGAATCGAACGTCTGGTCAGCTGAGGGATCACGACTTACGAGTAGCTTGTTTTGTTGGTTTTGTAGGGTTAGGCCCTTTTGGCCTGACAAGACCTCTTCAGGGTCGTCTTACCCACGAGTAGGTACAATGTACTGCATATAGCAACTATTACCATCTGTATGAACAACACGAAACGGAACTCTTTTTTTCGCACATTCGCTGTCACCACTTACATAAGCATTCGCTGTCACCACTTACATAAGAAGCGCTGACGCTTGCCTGACTGCTTGACTCGCAGCAAACTAAGATGCTGTTCTTTTCTGACCACAGGGCAAGGACAGCCAGGTGCTGCCCATGTCCATATTTGGCGTGCTCTCGCTGGTTGCCGGCGTTGTGACTCTGAAGCTGCCGGAGACGTATGGGGAGAACCTGCCGGAGACCCTGGAGGAGGCGGAGAACTTCGGCAGGTATGAGAAATTGAGCAACACACAACAGCATTGGTCAATAGGGAACCAGAAGTACAGTACCTGATAGGATACCTGGATGGGAGGTAGGATGCTCTACGGTACGGTCTTGGTAGGTAGAAAAATCGAACTCAAGCCATCACGAACTCTTGCATGCTTCAATTGTGCCATATTACAAACCCTCGCAATGTACTCGGGCTACATAAATGCACTTTCAGTGATCGTCTAACCTCTTTTGAGCGCCATCATCATCATTCGCCCATTTACTCTTATGTTGACGTCTATTTCGTTGACAGGAACCAGGGGCTCTGCTTCATCCCATGCCTGGTGGCCCGGAGACGAAGGAAAGTGGAAAACATGAATGCGGGCGGAACTAGCGCAGCGCAGGGATGCTCATCATGATTGTACCATAGCGGTAGGATGTCCTGTTGATGCTGTCCTGAGGACGTCCTGTCTGATGGTGCCAATGATTATGCACTGATGGTGAGCTGAGTAGAATGATGTGGTGACGTGTTCTGATGGGCTACCACTGATGTAAGTGGTATTGATGTTACTTGTCTGACTTGTGAATACCGAGTATTCACTTGTCAGTCGTTTAGTATCTAATGTAAGTAAAGTGTGATTGTAAAGTGAAGATCATGTCAGAAAAGTGTAATTAGTTTGCTGTCTCTGCACAAATCATCACCAGATGTAGCCACCTAACTAAATGAGATACCAATGAAGTCCAAATGAAAGAAAGACCCTCCTGTTATACGGAAGGTTTGTTGAAACATCGTACTTAACGATGAAGTGAACGTGGTCTACTATGTATATGTGATAATACATGACATCACTTAGGTATTATCAAATGAAAGTGGTGTCAGACGCCAGTTTAAGCTGGCTGATGTAAATAGGAAGAATGCTAGGAATATCGACTCAACTAGCATGTACTCATAAAATGCGTGGACTTGGATTGTGGTGAATTGTGTTGTATCCATTGTTGTGTGAAATTTATTTCACAATCACACCATAAAATAATCCAGAAATACAATCAATGAAACAAAGTTTGAGTGTGGTTACATACGCTGCATAACTACCGAATGACAAACAATCACATTTCAGGTCAGGCTAACGGTCAGCATCAAATGTTTCAAGATCAGCAAGGTGTTGGAACTGGGCCAGAATGCGTCTAGACTAGGAAGAAAGTTCCTATTTTCGAAACACCACACAGTCCATGGTCTACTATCCCCAAACAAATGAGTGGGATAAATCAAACATTGACGATCTCTGGGCTAAGCCCTTGTCCGATGATGTATGTACTATGAGTTTTTGAGCCCATTTCGCGCAGGTTACTTGAGCCATTTTTTCGTCCAGTTCCGTACGTCCGTCAACTTCTTTCGTTTCTTGAGGGGCCAAAGCCAGAGCCCTGAACAGTCCAACAGACTGGCGCGGAGAGTCAACTATTCCTTTTATTTCTTGTAGGATCACAGTCCTGCACAATCCAAATCCAACGAAGGAACCAAGAGCCCTCCAAGGCTCAGTCACTGAGCCAATCCATCCCAATCGCTGACTCATCTTTATCGTTGTTACGCATTTTTCCGTATTTTTTATTGACGATTCTCGTTGTCCGTTGATCGACCGCTCACCTAAAAATCGCTTTACACGATGAATTACCTGCACGGAACGGAACCCCTAGTGCTGAGCCTTCTGGTGACATTTCTAACAACTCTTCCATGTACCATCGTTGGCGTCACGGCACAATGGGTAGCCTGAACCCCAGCGGCCCGTCACGATGTGACACCACGGGTTGAAGCGTGCTAATTGGTGATTTTTCTAGACATAATGTAATCAAGCATTGTCGCCGATGTAAATTAGTTAACACGCAGATGTTCTTCGTGACAGTAATTGGCCACAGGTGCCACTCACCCGAGGTCGGTTCGCGACCCGAAAACTAACGGGCAAGACACTTTAGGGAGCAACTTATAGTTGACCTAAAGGGCACACAAGAAATTTACAACTAGAGACACTATAAACATTTATGCTCAGGACTTTAACCCGCGCCCACTGAACTCTATAATGTGGAATGCGCATCGGCCGCCAGATGGTGTCCAACGGTGCCGCCATGTTGCGCAGACCAGGAAGCGGCCGCCGCGGCGGCCGCTTCCTGGTCAGCTATGTGGACACGGAACCCGGCATCTTACGCAGAATTGAGTGGAGAACAAGATGGAATCCTAAAAAATCCTCAGATACAAGGAACTAATACGTTAAACCCTTATAAGTCAATGGGGAAATATGAAAATTGTTATATTTGCGCCGAGAATGATCTGATACTATCTCAAGCATATAGAATCATGATTTCATGCACTCCTTGCAAGGTTCTATGCTTCATATTTGCATTGTTGCCCTTGCGTGACGTCATTTGTGACGTCACAAGTGTCACAATTTTTCTTCAATAACTCCCGATCAAATTGAGCTAGCGAGTCGGGAAAGCCACCAATGGACTCAGGAAGACCTGCCGAATCGAATGATATGCGACATGACCTCTTTCGACCAACTTCGTGACCTGGGGGTGCTGACCTGACCTTGACCTGAGGTCAACACCCTAAGTTGACCTGACCCGAATAAAAAGTATATCACTCGATGCGCCTGAGCTAGCTGAACACGATGGTGCCAAAACCGTGGCTCTACGGCCATTTTTGGCGAAGTTATTAACCAAAAACCAAACCCGTGCCTTAGATCACTTGACCTGACCTCAGAGGTCACCGGTTGACCTGAGACCTTTACAGCGGGTTCCTACCAGTCATTCTGCATTATACTTTGCCGCATACGACCACTTAACCGCTTAATTCTAGTTTAATTAGCGGCGCATTAGCGAGGTGGGTTCAATCAACCCCCTCGGCCGGGGCAAATGTAGGTCCGGCGAGTGAATTTGAGGAATTCTGAAGATACGATCGTGTTCCCAATTCAATTCTGCGTAAGATGCCGGGTTCTGTATCTACGTAACTTGAACGTAACGGATGCGGCGGCCGCAAACGTAAATCGAGGTCCCGAATTCCCTATTCCTCAACACAGGCGGCAGCCGGTTCCTGGTCTGCGCAATATGGCCGCCACCGTTAGACAATACGGCCAATAGGGTTGAAGCGGCAGTGCTCCCCTGTGCCCGCGCGCCAGTGGCGGTCTCGGCCAACTTCGCCCTAGTGGGGGGGGGGGGGGCATATGTTACCACCCACCTCTAACTCAAAAACTAAGAGGGCTTGAAAGACGCGATAAAAAGCAGTCGATAGCCCTCAATGCGTACGTTTGAAAGTATTTCAGTCATTTTTCACCTTAGAGCAATATTGGGGTACCAGAGGTCATCAAAGGTCAAAGTTTACCAATTGTCATTATATTTTTCAGAAAACATGCCGCTATCTCATGAACTATGGTAGCTAGAAAAACGCATGGAAGAGCAATCGATAGCTTTTGAACTCTTCTTTTGAAAAGGTCATATCAATATTGACCTCAGGTCAACGGTTTAGCCTCCAGAGGGCAAAAACTCCAAAAATAGCTGTTTTTACGAAAAGTGTTTTTCGACAATAACTTTCTACTACAAAAAGCCACGACATTTCTATTGCCAGAATCGTGTTCCCCTCGCCGAGACGCGTCGAATGAACTATAATTTGACCTTGAAAGGTCAACTTGAAAATTTGACCTCAGGTCAAGGTCATGACCTTACCGGAAAAGGTCATATTGCATATCATTCGATGCGTCTCAACAAGACAAACACAATGAGACCATCCCCAGCGTTCTATCTCTTTCCAATCGCGAGTTATTGGCAAAAAACTGTTTGTAGCCTCAAGTGACCTCGGATGACCTGTCTAGAGGCTATCAGCAAAAATGACACCTTGGTCATCACGAGTGGACTAAATCATTGTGATTCTGAAATATTTGGACTGTTCCGATGCGTACACACGGATCTAGAGGCATTTTCATTTTTCTCCATTGACTTGTAATGGAAAGGTCACGCCACTGACCTGACCTTAGGTCACGGATATAAAAAATCCGAGATATACAAATTGTAGGCGCCTATAACAGCATGCAATCCACCAAGTTTGAAATCTTTCTGACAAACACTGCAGGCTGGACATGATTGCAAACTTTTTTAGGCTTGGTCAGTTAACTTGACCTGGTGACCTGACCTGACATGACCTGGGGTCAAAAATTTCACACATTATCCAAAATTGATATACCAAAAGCTACCCCAAGCGGCGCGGCGCTACGCGCCGCGGTTTTTATTCACACGCAAAAAACGCGACAGGGTGGTAACATATGCCCCCCCCCGCACTGGGGCGAAGGTTAAGGCGTTGAATCCCAATAACCAAATGTTTATAATAGCATATATATAAGATCAAGGCCTATAGGTATTATCGAGATGAGATGGGAAAACAGATAGCCATTCACTGGGCGTGGGCAGAATTGATTATATCTCCCTTAGCCTGCGCCCCGTAGGGGGGGGGGGCCGAAACGGCCCCCCCCCCGGTCCTTTTCGGTCGATATCTCCTCAACGGCTGGAGATATCGCCACCAAACTTTCAGGACCCCTCCGGGCATCAATTTTACACATTGTGACCAAAAATTTTTCCAGAGGCTATGATAGGTTGGCCACAAATGACGTCAGAGTGACGTCATGTTCTGTCATTTTCGACCGAAAAAAGACCTTCGCGAGAAGACCTGTCAGGACTACAGCTTTGAAGATACAGAAAAATGATCAGACATAAAAGGTGTAGAATTGACAGGGCTACAAAACTGCTATCTCGAATTTTTGAAATTTTTGAGTTTTGACCCCCAAAAATAAAAAAGCATTTTTTTTATATATTCGCCAAAAAATCCAAAAAGTTTTTTGATTTTCGAAAAAACCGGAATATATGTGATAGTGCCTACCGTGTTCTATCTACATACCAAATTTCAGATCGATACCTCGTTTTTTGGCCAAGTTATAGCGAAAAAAACTGTTCAAAAATGATGACGTCAAATTTTCAAACTCAATTTTTGGCAATTTTAGAACTCGTAGAGCAAAACGAAGACCACCATTAGACTCCCCGTGACGAGTTGCATCGAATCGATCCCCATTTTATGCAAAAATATCAACTTTGAAATTTGACCTAATTTGACCTGACCTTGACCTGACCTTCACCAAAACGTGACCTAGGCTGGCCCCAAAGGCTGCCTAACCCACATAATCGCATTTGTCATGTAAAATGGACCATAAAACATGCATCACACGACACATTCATATTGTGACCCCCGGTGACCTGACCTCGCTGTGACCTGACCTGGCATCAGTGACCTCAGATAGCAAAGTATGTGTTTGACGAACAATGTGCCATCGATGGTTTTCAATAAATTACCAATTTACTCGCTTTCACAGCACATTTCTTGAATTGCCTGTGAACGGTGAAAATCTGACCTTTGACCTGACCTGTGACGTCATCGGTTTGACCTAGGTCAATGAAATTTGGTCACAAGGTAGTTCCCGGGTGGGGCTATCGAACACCGTTTGAATTTTGAAAATCAGCCGGTAACTTTCCGAGATCTTAGGGGGGGGCCGAAACGGCCCCCCCCCCCCCTACGGGTGGTGGGTCCGCCGGTATAGCCCTACGGGGCGCGGGTTAGGTAGGTATAACTATCTATATCGACTCAGAAATGAAACTTTTTATCTAACGACAGGTAGGTCGTGTTTATTTCAGTCCAGGCAGCACTTACTAAGTGGCTATTTGATCAGGAAACTCTTTGCAATTTAGGTATTGTCCATCTCTGCCTTTCCAGGGCTCATGCAAAATTGTATTGGCTACGCCTAGACGTTTAAACATATAATTACTAACACCACATTTATTGTTATGATATACTCGTATAGCACGCCATCACTAGCACTTGTCATGTTACCCCAATGCCTCCCCCTCCCCTCCCCTCCTCTCCCATGGCGTCCTCCCCTGCCACTCTCATGTTTCCCGAGTGTGTTTGTGAAGCGCATATACATCCGTAGTAACCTACAACACCTCCCCGACACACTTGGCACGACGCCAGACACGTGCGTAGACCACTCTGGCCGAATTTGCCCACCTTCAGTTGGCGTTCGACAAGCGTCGGTGACGGCGGGCGGTGTGTGCACGTCGTGTGTATGTGTGTATGTGTCGTGCACGAGGCGCGAGCCGCGGGGCCTCCTCGTTGAGCATTGCTGAAGTGTGGGACAGTGCTGCCCCTGGTGGCGATGAAGGGAACTTCGTAAGCTCTGCAGCGGTAAGCTTGTTGCACTGCGCTCGAGCTTCTGTGGGCAGTCGCCGACCGCTTGTGCGCGGGGTAGTCGGGGCGCTTCCTCTTCCTCTATCTCGGGCCCGGGAGAGACGAGCTTAGAAGAGTGATCTTCCTCGCTCTCTGGAGGTCGTCTCATCCTCGTGGAATCCTCCTCCTACTGCATCAAGACAATTTCTTCAGCATTTAACCACCTGAGGAATCCATCTTCTATCTTCAGTCCCTCCCTCCCATAAAAGCAAACTTACACACTCGTCCAGTCTTTCTCACTCTCCTATTCATCTACACCCCTTTACTGCTGGAGAGACAACTCAGCGGAGCCAGTGAGGCGATTGTGAAGAACTCAACTCCACTTCTCTACAAGGCGAAAACAGATTTTAACGACCGTCATAAGTTTCTGAAGGTAAGTTGTAAATGAAACGCAGACCTTTTTTTCTTCACCGTCTTCCTTTTTTCACTTCACCGTTCAGAGCTTTTTCAGCTGAAGTGCATTGACATGTGTGTGTGTGTAGCGGCATTGAGCTCAGCGGATCCCTGAGTATGATCAAAACGTACCACAATAATGCATGCGTCCGTACTCATGAGCAATTGTGCCATTATGTGCTTAGTATGTGCATTCCCAATTCTAAAACAAATGCACAAGGCTGATCTGATAGCGCTCGAAGGTGGTTCGCCGTTAGGAACCGGTCAGATGAGCGACCCGTTCAAACTTCAGACCTCTTTTTGCGCACGTGCGCGGAGTGTGTAGGCCATTTTTGCATCTTGATGACGGCTGGCAGTGGACCGATTACGCGCAAAGTAGGGACGCCGTAAATGACCCTTGGGAACATAGATCAGTGGCCAGCACAACTCAGTTGAAAAGAAGTTGTTGGCAATGGTATTGTCAATAGTTGGCAATGCACGTAAAAACGCACGTGAAGGACCCCCCACCCTCCCCCAGTAGGGCGCGTTATACGCAGACCCCAGTGCAGTGAAGCGCGAGTTACTTAGTTTAATTAACCCGCGCCCTGCTGGGGGGTGTTTGAACACCCCCCCCTTGTGGTTTTTCGCAAATATCTCAAAAACGGCGGCGCGGAGCGCCGCCGTTTTTGGTACACCTTATCATACATCCATTCTACACATGTTGTGAAAATTTCAGACCAAGGTCATTCAAGGTCAGGTCACCAGGTCACTTGAAGTGACCTCACCTCATAAAAAGTTTCAATGTCTGTCATAGCTACACCGAGTGCCCGATCGCTTTGAAACTTTTAGCGATTGCTAAGAGCAATGGCATGTACAAAATGTTTATCTCAGAATTTTGATATCGATGACCTAAGGTCAGGTCAATATTGCGACCTCCCCATTATAAGTCAATGGGAGAAAATTGAAATGCGCCTCTTTTGGACGAAACACATTATTAACACTCCCAAACACCGCATTACAAGTGGTTTAGACACACTGAACATGAAAATGGTGTCCGTGACCCTTGTTTGTGCCCTGAGGTCATCTTAGGTCACGAATGGTATCTAACAGTTTTTCGCAAATAACTTTTGATAGAGGCATGCTAGAGCGATGAAAACGCCTTATATGTGTTCAGCTCGACGATACGGATCGACTGATATGCAACATGACCCTTTCCGGTCAGGTCATGACCTTGACCTGAGGTCAAATTTTCAAGTTGACCTTTCAAGGTCAAGTTATAGTTCATTCGATGCGTCTTGACGAGAGGAACACGATGCCGGTGAAAGTAAGCTCGTACAAGGCTTGGGTCAAAAGTTATTGCAGAAAAACTGTTTCCGAAAAAATCGGCTATTTTTGCAGTTTTTGCCCCCTGCAGGCAAAACCGTTGACGTTAGGTCAAATCTGAGAGAATTACTCAGAAAGGGCGTTAATAGGGCTATCGAATGCACTTTTCCGCGGCGCTGTAGCTCTATTGGTTCCCTAGTTATGCGTTGGCTTCTTGGAAATTTTCGACATTCGACCTGGAAATCGGCGAAATTTTGCCTTCAATGACCTCTGGTGACCTCACCTTTGACCTGACCAAAAAATTGACCGAAGTGATTTCGTCATTATTTTTTACGCTCTTTCGAACGCCGCCTTCCGCGTATCGCTACGTGGCCCAGGAGCCGAGTTACAAGGGGGGGTGTTTGAACACCCCCCCCCCCCCCAGCAGCGCGTGGAAATCCAGGACCCCCAGCCGGGCGCGGGTTAAGGAGTATAATCTGATATGCTTGCCACCAGGGCCTCGTTTCATGAAGCGAGTCCGTAACTTACGCCGGTTTTTGGTCTTGTATTGCCAGTGCATGTGAAGCGATGACGATAATTTGCATCTTAAGTACTACAAGGCACCCATACCAATAGCTTTGCCAAGGTTAGTTGGATACAATCATGGAGCAAGCCGTGACTTGAAAATCCGCTGAAGACACTTCAGTTAAGCAAATACAGGAAGGAAGCATCTTCCAGATAGAATTATAAGAGATATACGGATTTTACCAGCCAGTTTCTCGCTACCTTAATCCCCGCCCTGCTGGGGGGGGGGGGTTTGAACACCCCCCTTGCGGTTTTTCGCGGATATCTCAAAAACGGCGCCGCGGAGCGCCGCCGTTTTTGGTACACCTTATCATACATCAATTCTACACATGTTGTAAAAATTTCAGACCAAGGTCATTCAAGGTCAGGTCACCAGGTAACTTTAAGTGACCTCACCTCATAAAAAGTTTCAATGTCTGTCATAGCTACACCGAGTGACCGATCGCTTTGAAACTTTCAGCGATTGCTAAGCGCAATAGCATGTACAAAATGTATATCTCAGAATTTTGATATCGATGACTTAACCCTCGCCGGCACAGGCCATTTTGAGTCCTTCGACGGCACAAGGGGGGGGGGGTTGGTACGACCCCCCCTCGCGTTTGGCCCCTGATCGAGCTAGAGCTTCGCGGAAAAAACGAGCGTGTTGCCCGTCACGAGAGGAAGCCGATGATATCCAATTTTAAGGTCCTAGGTCATCGAGTGACCTTCCAGGTCAGGTCAATGACCCGAAAACCGGGAAAATCGGGACCTGTTAGAAAGTCGTAAAGTGTGGCTGCTATGTGGTTTTCCGGGGTGCTGATCACGAATATCGTGTTAGTTTTGATCAGAAATGATGTCTTTAAGCATTTAGACCAGGTCGGGTCAGGTCAGGTCAACCGGTAGGGGTTGTGACGCCGTAGGGTGACCGGTTTTGCAAAAAGTTTCGAAAAGTTTTGCTCCCCAGGTCTAATCTAACGTATTTGGGGGTGCTGATCACGAATCCGGCGGAAAAAATATAAAATTCGAATTTTTTTTGACCGCCCCGGCTCTTTGATTATTTCCGGTTTTCTCAATTTTTGCATGTTTTTGAATAATATGATGAATGTAATGAAAAAATATTAACAATGTATCGCTAAATGCATGTACCAGTCGATTCGGCATACAGCGGCGTCGAAATCGGCACGCCGCCTGCTTCACCGGCCTCGCAGGAAAGCATAAGGCTCGGAAGGTTTGCGTTAGTTACCCGATTCTCTCCATAGATGGCGCTGGCGTAGCCGCCCGCCGGCCGGTCGTTGCCGTGCCGTTCACAGCCCCGGCGGTCACTTGCGACCGTCGTGGTCGTTATGCTACGTCTATCAAAGCACGACAGAAATGTTCACTTCATTAGACATATTTTAGACCTAATGTTGAATTGGATAAATGACTATCGTGAATTGGCGAAATAGTGGAGTGCGCTCGGGAGCCATTTACAATAGCGAGGATCGTAGGTGGATTGATCTGAGTAACATATGACACTGCGTTCACTGTTGATATGAAGTTTATTCACACTATGTAGTCGGGTGACATGAGAACAAAGTGACTAACATACCTTGTGTACGACACATGGATGAAGCTAATGCTACTTTTTCATTTTGTTTCGGTAGGCCCATTTGTTCAGAGCGTAGCCGTCCTGTCGGTCTGCGCCTGTTACAGCTGTGACTGATTCGGTGGTCAGCTTTACAGCCCTTTCGGTGGATTGGGTATGGCAGGGGACCCCCGTTTTGGAGTCTGTAGAAAGTCGCGCAACTCATCCTCGCTCATGTGTCGTACACAAGGGGGTTCAATGTCTCGGCCCTCGTCAACCGCTCGCTGCACGTTAACCAGTTCCATATAGTTGTTCGCTTGAACGTTAATTTCCGGCAGCCGGAAGTGCCGAATGGGCTGCTGCTGTGGCGGTGGGGGGTGGCAGCTTTGGCGGCGGTCGTGGCGGCGGTGCCGGCGGTGGTGGTGGTGGTGGTGGTGGTGGTGGTGGTGATGGCCGCCGCCGTTTCAGACGCCGCTGCTGCTGTTGTGGCGGCGGCGGCGGCGGCGGTGGCGGTGGTGGTGGTGGCGATGGCCGCCGCCTCTGTCGCCGCTGCTTCTGCTGTGGCGGGGGCGGGAACGGCGGCTGCTCCTGTCGCTGCCTTTTTTGACGAATGCTCTGGATTAATAATCCAAAACGAATGCTCTGGATTAATAATCCAGAGTATTCATCAAAAAAGGCAGCGACAGGAGCAGCCGCCGTTCCCGCCCCCGCCACAGCAGAAGCAGCGGCGACAGAGGCGGCGGCCACCGCCACCACCACCACCGCCACAACAGCAGCAGCGGCGTCTGAAACGGCGGCGGCCATCACCACCACCACCACCACCACCACCACCACCACCGCCGGCACCGCCGCCACGACCGCCGCCAAAGCTGCCACCCCCACCGCCACAGCAGCAGCCCATTCGGCACTTCCGGCTGCCGGAAATTAACGTTCAAGCGAACAACTATATGGAACTGGTTAACGTGCAGCGAGCGGTTGACGAGGGCCGAGACATTGAGCCCCCTTGTGTACGACACATGAGCGAGGATGAGTTGCGCGACTTTCTACAGACTCCAAAACGGGGGTCCCCTGCCATACCCAATCCACCGAAAGGGCTGTAAAGCTGACCACCGAATCAGTCACAGCTGTAACAGGCGCAGACCGACAGGACGGCTACGCTCTGAACAAATGGGCCTACCGAAACAAAATGAAAAAGTAGCATTAGCTTCATCCATGTGTCCGTTAGGCGGCACGGGCGGACATCGATAGCAGCGCCTCTATCGGTCACTTGGAAAAGCTGGGCTGTAGGCGACGAAATACCGGCTGAGTTGTCACACGTTGAATAGGTTTATAGCCATCCGTCTTGTGAAAAAGTTGAACTTTTGCCCTTAATATTTCTACAGGCAATTTTAGAAGTGTCTTCACATGGATTACAAAACCATTTAGATTATTGTATTCACTTCAAGCCTTTCCTATTGTTCTTGATGATGCGGGAACTATTTATAATTAGTGTTTCTAGCTTAGTAAAAGAACATACTGTGCAAACGATGAAAAAAGCATAAATGGAAGATTTTAAATGCAATTTTCTCTAA